GGTCCCGGGATCGATCCCCGGCTCAGCCCGACTTTTGCCACATGACCAAAGATCGGAAAAGATGGAATTGAAAGACGAAGGATCACATCACAGAGGCAGGCCTTGAGTAAATCCGCGCGGCTGAGTGGTCTAGTGGTATGATTCTCGCCTAGGGTGCGAGAGGTCCCGGGATCGATCCCCGGCTCAGCCCGACTTTTGCCACATGACCAAAGATCGGAAAAAATGGAATTGAAAGACGAAGGATCACGTCACAGAGGCAGGCCTTGAGTAAATCCGCGCGGCTGAGTGGTCTAGTGGTATGATTCTCGCTTAGGGTGCGAGAGGTCCCGGGATCGATCCCCGGCTCAGCCCGACTTTTGCCACATGACCAAAGATCGGAAAATATGGAATTGAAAGACGAAGGATCACGTCACAGAGGCAGGCCTTGAGTAAATCCGCGCGGCTGAGTGGTCTAGTGGTATGATTCTCGCTTAGGGTGCGAGAGGTCCCGGGATCGATCCCGGCTCAGCCCGACTTTTGCCACATGACCAAAGATCGGAAAAGATGGAATTGAAAGACGAAGGATCACATCACAGAGGCAGGCCTTGAGTACATCCCCGCGGCTGAGTGGTCTAGTGGTATGATTCTCGCTTAGGGTGCGAGAGGTCCCGGGATCGATCCCCGGCTCAGCCCGACTTTTGCCACATGACCAAAGATCGGAAAAGATGGAATTGAAAGACGAAGGATCACATCACAGAGGCAGGCCTTGAGTACATCCCCGCGGCTGAGTGGTCTAGTGGTATGATTCTCGCTTAGGGTGCGAGAGGTCCCGGGATCGATCCCCGGCTCAGCCCGACTTTTGCCACATGACCAAAGATCGGAAAAGATGGAATTGAAAGACGAAGGATCACGTCACAGAGGCAGGCCTTGAGTAAATCCGCGCGGCTGAGTGGTCTAGTGGTATGATTCTCGCTTAGGGTGCGAGAGGTCCCGGGATCGATCCCCGGCTCAGCCCGACTTTTGCCACATGACCAAAGATCGGAAAAGATGGAATTGAAAGACGAAGGATCACGTCACAGAGGCAGGGCTTGAGTAAATCCGCGCGGCTGAGTGGTTTAGTGGTATGATTCTCGCTTAGGGTGCGAGAGGTCCCGGGATCGATCCCCGGCTCAGCCCGACTTTTGCCACATGACCAGAGATCGGAAAAAATGGAATTGAAAGACGAAGGATCACGTCACAGAGGCAGGCCTTGAGTAAATCCGCGCGGCTGAGTGGTCTAGTGGTATGATTCTCGCTTAGGGTGCGAGAGGTCCCGGGATCGATCCCCGGCTCAGCCCGACTTTTGCCACATGACCAGAGATCGGAAAAGATGAAATTGAAAGACGAAGGATCACGTCACAGAGGCAGGCCTTGAGTAAATCCGCGCGGCTGAGTGGTCTAGTGGTATGATTCTCGCTTAGGGTGCGAGAGGTCCCGGGATCGATCCCCGGCTCAGCCCGACTTTTGCCACATGACCAAGGATCGGAAAAGATGGAATTGAAAGACGAAGGATCACGTCACAGAGGCAGGCCTTGAGTAAATCCGCGCGGCTGAGTGGTCTAGTGGTATGATTCTCGCTTAGGGTGCGAGAGGTCCCGGGATCGATCCCCGGCTCAGCCCGACTTTTGCCACATGACCAAAGATCGGAAAAGATGGAATTGAAAGACGAAGGATCACGTCACAGAGGCAGGCCTTGAGTAAATCCGCGCGGCTGAGTGGTCTAGTGGTATGATTCTCGCTTAGGGTGCGAGAGGTCCCGGGATCGATCCCCGGCTCAGCCCGACTTTTGCCACATGACCAAAGATCGGAAAATATGGAATTGAAAGACGAAGGATCACGTCACAGAGGCAGGCCTTGAGTAAATCCGCGCGGCTGAGTGGTCTAGTGGTATGATTCTCGCTTAGGGTGCGAGAGGTCCCGGGATCGATCCCGGCTCAGCCCGACTTTTGCCACATGACCAAAGATCGGAAAAGATGGAACTGAAAGACGAAGGATCACATCACAGAGGCAGGCCTTGAGTAATTCCGCGCGGCTGAGTGGTCTAGTGGTATGATTCTCGCTTAGGGTGCGAGAGGTCCCGGGATCGATCCCCGGCTCAGCCCGACTTTTGCCACATGACCAAAGATCGGAAAAGATGGAACTGAAAGACGAAGGATCACATCACAGAGGCAGGCCTTGAGTAAATCCGCGCGGCTGAGTGGTCTAGTGGTATGATTCTCGCTTAGGGTGCGAGAGGTCCCGGGATCGATCCCCGGCTCAGCCCGACTTTTGCCACATGACCAAAGATCGGAAAATATGGAATTGAAAGACGAAGGATCACGTCACAGAGGCAGGCCTTGAGTAAATCCGCGCGGCTGAGTGGTCTAGTGGTATGATTCTCGCTTAGGGTGCGAGAGGTCCCGGGATCGATCCCGGCTCAGCCCGACTTTTGCCACATGACCAAAGATCGGAAAAGATGGAACTGAAAGACGAAGGATCACATCACAGAGGCAGGCCTTGAGTAATTCCGCGCGGCTGAGTGGTCTAGTGGTATGATTCTCGCTTAGGGTGCGAGAGGTCCCGGGATCGATCCCCGGCTCAGCCCGACTTTTGCCACATGACCAAAGATCGGAAAAGATGGAATTGAAAGACGAAGGATCACATCACAGAGGCAGGCCTTGAGTAAATCCCCGCGGCTGAGTGGTCTAGTGGTATGATTCTCGCTTAGGGTGCGAGAGGTCCCGGGATCGATCCCCGGCTCAGCCCGACTTTTGCCACATGACCAAAGATCGGAAAAGATGGAATTGAAAGACGAAGGATCACGTCACAGAGGCAGGCCTTGAGTAAATCCGCGCGGCTGAGTGGTCTAGTGGTATGATTCTCGCTTAGGGTGCGAGAGGTCCCGGGATCGATCCCCGGCTCAGCCCGACTTTTGCCACATGACCAAAGATCGGAAAAGATGGAATTGAAAGACGAAGGATCACGTCACAGAGGCAGGCCTTGAGTAAATCCGCGCGGCTGAGTGGTTTAGTGGTATGATTCTCGCTTAGGGTGCGAGAGGTCCCGGGATCGATCCCCGGCTCAGCCCGACTTTTGCCACATGACCAAAGATCGGAAAAGATGGAATTGAAAGACGAAGGATCACATCACAGAGGCAGACCTTGAGTAAATCCCCGCGGCTGAGTGGTCTAGTGGTATGATTCTCGCTTAGGGTGCGAGAGGTCCCGGGATCGATCCCCGGCTCAGCCCGACTTTTGCCACATGACCAAAGATCGGAAAAGATGGAATTGAAAGACGAGGGATCACGTCACAGAGGCAGGCCTTGAGTAAATCCGCGCGGCTGAGTGGTCTAGTGGTATGATTCTCGCTTAGGGTGCGAGAGGTCCCGGGATCGATCCCCGGCTCAGCCCGACTTTTGCCACATGACCAAAGATCGGAAAAGATGGAATTGAAAGACGAAGGATCACGTCACAGAGGCAGGCCTTGAGTAAATCCGCGCGGCTGAGTGGTCTAGTGGTATGATTCTCGCTTAGGGTGCGAGAGGTCCCGGGATCGATCCCCGGCTCAGCCCGACTTTTGCCACATGACCAAAGATCGGAAAAGATGGAATTGAAAGACAAAGGATCACGTCACAGAGGCAGGCCTTGAGTAAATCCGCGCGGCTGAGTGGTCTAGTGGTATGATTCTCGCTTAGGGTGCGAGAGGTCCCGGGACCGATCCCCGGCTCAGCCCGACTTTTGCCACATGACCAAAGATCGGAAAAGATGGAATTGAAAGACGAAGGATCACGTCACAGAGGCAGGCCTTGAGTAAATCCGCGCGGCTGAGTGGTCTAGTGGTATGATTCTCGCTTAGGGTGCGAGAGGTCCCGGGATCGATCCCCGGCTCAGCCCGACTTTTGCCACATGACCAAGGATCGGAAAAGATGAAATTGAAAGACGAAGGATCACGTCACAGAGGCAGGCCTTGAGTAAATCCGCGCGGCTGAATGGTCTAGTGGTATGATTCTCGCTTAGGGTGCGAGAGGTCCCGGGATCGATCCCCGGCTCAGCCCGACTTTTGCCACATGACCAAAGATCGGAAAAGATGGAATTGAAAGACAAAGGATCACGTCACAGAGGCAGGCCTTGAGTAAATCCGCGCGGCTGAGTGGTCTAGTGGTATGATTCTCGCTTAGGGTGCGAGAGGTCCCGGGATCGATCCCCGGCTCAGCCCGACTTTTGCCACATGACCAAAGATCGGAAAAGATGGAATTGAAAGACGAAGGATCACGTCACAGAGGCAGGCCTTAAGTAAATCCGCGCGGCTGAGTGGTCTAGTGGTATGATTCTCGCTTAGGGTGCGAGAGGTCCCGGGATCGATCCCCGGCTCAGCCCGACTTTTGCCACATGACCAAAGATCGGAAAAGATGGAATTGAAAGACGAAGGATCACGTCACAGAGGCAGGCCTTGAGTAAATCCGCGCGGCTGAGTGGTCTAGTGGTATGATTCTCGCTTAGGGTGCGAGAGGTCCCGGGATCGATCCCCGGCTCAGCCCGACTTTTGCCACATGAATGAAGGATGGAATAACGGAAGGAGAAAAATAACGTCGCAACGTGGCTGAAAGCATTTGATTGGATATAAAGGTGATGTGATACCAAAAGATGTCTTACCAAGTTTCGACTAGAAACTCACGTTTTTGCCGTCGCCTCACAACCTACGCCACAATCGCTCCGCCGTGGAATGATTCTCACCGAGTCATCCAATCGTTTTTAGGAAGCTAAAGTGTGTAAATCTATGTGATTGTGATCACAGTGATTCGTAAGGTGCTGGTCTTTGATGGAGCTCTCTATGCTGCATTTACGGAAAAGATAAGCCCAACTATGGTGTATGTTCGCTTAGGCAACGTTTTCGCTGGATGCTTTGTTGTGCCCATCTCTTCTTCTTCCTCTTGGACAAAGAGTTTTTCAACCTTTAAAGTGTTGTTGTAAAGGCATATCGTTTGAAAAACATTATCTTTCCAGGACGCTTTGAGCGTACTTTGCTCAAATCGGTGCATACGTGGAGAAGTTGCTGTAGCTCCGAGGTGGGTAGGTGACGCCTTGGGTCGGCTATGCAATTTCAAGCGAATTTTGCTTACATGCGAACCTTATGGAGATGTAGTGCACAGCTACGGTACATTGACTCAAGTAAGGCGGAATATTTATTTGAATTAACATAACTGTTATTATTTTCATGTTCTGGCACATAGTCATGCAATCATAAAACCGTACAACAGTAATGAATTAGTGTACTACTCGCTCATCAGTGCACCGCTGGAATTCAAGGTAAGCGTATTTGGGTGTATAACTTCGATCAAATAATTAAGGAGCTGATGTGATGAAGCTGCTGTTCAGAGCCCTCTCAAAGTTGGAGGTCAAGTTCGCTACACTGCTTGCCTCGATTTGCCAAACTCAACATACAAGTGGCGCTGTCTTGGGGTTGCAAGAATTTCTCGGGTTGACTTAGGAGAGGAAGTGAAAGAGGTACAACTCTGTTTGAGAATTACTGTCCATTAGAGTTTGTAAAGTAGTAAAGAACGTTAACAATTGTGTATAGGAGATGATAATAAAACCAGTTGAGTTAGGCTCTATATATCCATATCTGTCCACATCACAACTATTTTAGGAGTCGACTAGCATAGGTAATATTCCTACTTCCAAGCCTGCTCTCACAGGGGGTGAAATTTTCAAAGTTCGTACATATATCGAACTTTTTATGCAGTTAATATTTTCGACATTAACATACTTTTCAGCCAGCAAATGAAGTTTCTGAAAATATTTGTGATGAAGGTTTGTGTGTTTATATGGAAAACGCAAATTTCGATCCAAAATCAGTGAGAATATGGTCAAAAATACAACATAAAATGCCATGACACTTATCAACCACGATTACAATTTCTTACTTAAGTGAAGACCGACACTGTAAAAGCAGAAGAAAATATGAACGAAATTCTCATTAAAATAGATTCGAACGATGAGAAACGAGAGAAACCGCGGATTTGCAGCTTGTGAGTTTCACATGACAATGTTAATAATAGTAGGTTGTCCCGAAAGTTTTGTCCGCTTTTTTCAACCTATCATAAAAATACGTGGAACAAAGTAGAGAAACGCTCTAAGCACTACCCGACGCATCTTTTCCTCCTCTCTTCAGCTGTCATGCTCCCATGCCGATTACTCTTTTGCTCACTGAGATAAACGCCGAAATTTCGAACCCATGGTTTTTACTGTGTCCAAGTTTGACAATTTTTCAAAATCTTCTTCAACTTTTGAAAGACCTTTGATAGCCCTCAGATAGAAAGCAAAGGGCAATGCTATGCAAATTTGGCATATCTAGCTGGCTTTTCAATATTTCCAAAGATAATTTTTTCAAAAGACTTCACTTTTGCAAGGTTCTAAAATACAGAAACGCTTCGAACACTAACAAATCATCTCATTTTGAAACTTTCAAAAGCCGATTACGATTATTCACTATTTTTACGAAGCAAATGAGCGTTTACCGCTTCGAAATATAAGATTTTGCATTTTACGTGTACACGCTGGGGTGGGGTCAAATTCAAGAATTATGAAAATTTTATCGCCAAAGACCGCGCAAATTGGAGAGAAAATAACTCACTGGAGAGAGGAGGAAAAGCTGCATCGAATAACACCTTAGTTGTGCGCCGTTTCATAATCTCTGGCTTTTGGCATCACCAAAATTGGAATTTGATAGCATCAGAAAAATAATTCTAAAAAATTTTCAAGGCTGGCTATAGATGCCGCAAATTTGTATTATATTGCCCTTTGTTTGCTCTATCTAAGTGTTGCCAAAGCTTTTCCGAAAGCGAAAAATAAAGATTGTAAAAATTGCCAAACTTGGACATAGTAAAAACTATGGGTTTGAAATTTCGACGTTTATCTCAGTGAACAAAAGATTAATCAGCATGGAAGCATGACCGTTAGAAAGAGAAAGAAAAGATGCGTCGGATAGTGGTTAGAGCGTTCCCCTATCTTCATTCCACGCGTTTTTATGATAGGTTGAAAAAATGGACAAAACTTTCGGGACAACCTAATACTTTCAACTAAAACAGATTACATATGCTTCGCACTCCCCCGGAAACATTCGATACTGTTCCAGTGTGCCTCAACGAAACTCCAAGGAAAGTATTCAGGTAACTAGTGATTTCAGGAGTTCAAGGCTAACAAAAACGAATTTCAGTTATGGTGATGAGGCACCATGTCATTTTACTATCAGAGATGAGTTGGAGCGAAGTCAATATGCAAACTTTTCAGCCTTGTATAAAAGTATGGAAGATTTTCTTCTTCGCCATGCACGACGTAGATGTAAGTCATTTGCGTGGGAGGTATGAGATATCATATGTTTTGAGATCTAGTCGAATTGAAAACATATGCTACTTCTACAGCAAAACATAATGCTGTGTTCGCTCTTCAGAGTATAGCTTATGCCGTGTCCCATGCTTTTTTCTCGCTTCGCCTTATCAGTCAAAATAGTAACTTATTCAAAAGATCTGGGAGCAACTCCTTTGTTGCACTTTTAGGAAAGCCTTGCTCTAGCCCTGTCAGGAAAGCGCACATCATACTTATCCATTTCATTCCCAAAAAAACGGGGCCTCACTTATTTGTCATTAGTTTTGAACAAAGTGGATGAAGTGGATAAGTATAGCGTGCGCTTAGTGCGGTGTGCTTTTACCCCAGGGGCGTACGGCGGAGGAGAAGGCACCTCCCTCGAGAATGCGTCGCAAAATTCTTGAAAGTTACTTATCACGTGTTGAAAAAAGGGCAAGTGACTTGATTTTACTTCTGAATAGATAAAGTAGTTTTCAAGAATTTTAATTAACCTTTTGGAAGTTTCTCGGGAGGCGGAGCTGCCAGGCTCCCCTCTTCTAAAATTTCAGGGTGTGGCCCGCGAAATTTGTGGGGCATCTCACTAAATAATTGGGAGTGGGTGGTTCACGTCACGCACCTTCATTCCAGAGAATTTTTTTCGCACCCTCCCCACCCCCCGAACGGAAATCCTGGGTACGCCACTGCTTCTATCGTATTTCAGACAAGCATAAGCGCCGTCATTTCAATGACGGGATTTCCAAAGGCGGTATAAACGAAAGCGAAAACAAAGGAAAATCTGCAAATAATCCAGCGAGGATTAGTGCGATCAGTAACGATCTCGAGCCTTCCGTGGGAAGATTTAATTTTGTTGGTGAGCTAATACAGCATAAACGATCAAAATTAGTTTAAAAAAAGACAAAATCGACTAGGTGTTGGGGATGATATCAGCCAAATGGTCGCAGCGCAGAAGCAACGAGAGCAGCTAACGTCAAAGGCTCCAAAAGTTCCGCAGAGATCAGGCAAAGGGGTGAGCAGCGCAACCGAAAATATAATTTAGAATGAAAAATTGAAAAACTAGTTTTCAGTGGTGGTATCGTCGTACAACGCCTCGTATTTATCCAACAGTAGTTGTAGCCGAGTTTATCAAGAATCGTGACAAGGAAAAGGACTGCAATGAAAATATCAATGTCCATAAATTGACGAAGACTATAATTATTTGCAATGTAAGACTTCATCAATTCTACCCAAAGTCCATTTTGATCTACTGTCTATAAGGTGTTTCTCAAGCTAAAGTCTCACTAAATTTAGCTCGGTCAATCATTTACGCTTTTCATCATTCTTTGGACCATTTAATCAGATTTACGGAAAATTTGCAGGCAGGGGAGTTTGAGGATGAAGATGAATTCAGCATTAGTAGCAAAAAAGACCTCCAAGCTAATCATACATTATTCGAAACCAAAGATAAAGAACCAAATATTATGACGTTACTGCAAAATGATCAGGTAGTATTTTTCTTTAGAGCAATCACAGAAAGATTTACAATATACTCTCTAAATGACAAACATTTTAGATAATGGGAAACTTTTTTGGACCCTTGCTCAAAAACTTGAAGAAATGACCGCATTGTCTATCATCTAAGTGATCTATTACAAACGAGAGTTTGAGAAAACGATTACGTTCAGTTAATGTGCCGAGGCACAAATCCATAGTTAAGTATTAAGCAGTAATATGTGTTTAGTTTTGAATAAATTTTTTTGTAATTACGCAAGCGTTGACATTGACTGGAAGGGTTTCTAAAACAATACATATTTCGACGATAGATAAGTGCGTTTCTTTTAAACAACTGGGAAAATTTATATACACGTAAGGTCACACTGATAATTTTTTTCAGCTTTTACTTTTTATGTAACTTCCCCCACAATGAAAAAATGCATGAAAGTTTAGACTTTCATCCTTCTAAATGTGATCCAAATAGTTCCTCAAGTTGCTAATTTCTTGAAGTCATGTTGATTGAAACTCATGAAATCGTGGCTGATTGCTATACAGAACTGGTGATTGATTGTGATACGAACTACATGCAATATTTATTGAATTAGAAAATCAACGACAAAAATTTCAGAATGGCATGGGAGTAAGATCTCGTCTGAAGTAACCGCCATGATGCTCTTTTGTCAATTTGTAAAACGATGGAATCAAAGCTCCCGTGGACTCATCGATCTAAAACGAAATTTTGAGCTCTTCCAGATTCCATACATACTGCAATTAACCATAACTGGGTGTAATAACTTACCGAAATAGTGGCACCAGCTCCGCCCATGTCGGTCTGCACCCATCCTGGGCAAAACATCGCGACAAGAATATGTTCTTTCTCCAGATCAATAGCCATGGTTTTCATTAGAGAGTTCAAAGCTGACTAAAAGATGATACTTATACAAGGATTTGTTTTTGGGTTATGTTTAGATCTTTCTCGCTAACCTTGCTGATCCTATAAGCCAGCATGCCGCTTTGACCTGAACCTGATGTGTTATCGGCAATTGAGGCAACACCGGAAGATATGTTAAGAATAGCGGCACGATCAACGGAAAACTCGTCCGTAGATATTTGGCTGGCCGCTTTTCGTATTAGTGGGAGGAATTTCTGAACATAACAAAGAAAGCGGCACTTACAGTGAAAAAAAAACAGCTATTGTTCCAACCTGTGTAAGGACGGCTACACCAGCAGTGTTGGTGTCAAAGTTTTTGATGAGATCGGCACGATTTGGTTCTTGGTTTGTGAAGTATTTCACAAATATTCCAGCGTTATTGATCAGAACTGTAAGTCCGCGATCTCCCACTATTTTCTCGACCTAAAATTGCTGCAGTAATGCCAAAGAATATAGCGTGGTTCTTGTTGAATTTATAGACGCAAAAACAATGAGAAATTTGCTGATGAAATATCGTGTCAATGAAGCGGGGAAGCAGCTGGAAGAATACGCTAAGATATTTTCGAAAACTGACAAAATCGCAAAAAATATTCAGCACTTCGAAGATCTTGAATTATTTCTGTAGCCACTCCGTCACTTTTTAAATGCTCAGAATATCGTTCAAGAAAAGCGCTTACCTGGGGGTAGAGATTGTTGATTGATTCATCAGACGTCACATCCAACTTAAGGACTGAAAGCCTCTTGTCGGAGATCTCGTTCAGGTCCTGAACGCATACTCCGATTAACATATAGCAAACATATAATAACTATAATGCTACCGTATGATAACAAAAAAGTTAAATGTCCGGTTAACGGGAAAAATTTTTCCTGTATACAAACCTTTCAATCCACATTTCCAAATTCTTTGAAGAATATTCAAGATCTTTGTGTCATTCACAACTTTTTTTAAATAAGCTACCAATAATTGGAATTGCTTAGGCAAAAGCAAAATGAACTCACTTTAGCATTGCTTGGTTCACGAGCTGTGGCAATCACATGCTGAATGTTCTTGTCTTTGAGCAATTGCTTGACCAAACCATAGCCAATTCCACGGTTTGCACCAGTAACTAGCACTGAGTATGGAGCCATTTCCTATTCATTTTTTGTGAGTTGGATTTATTTGATCAAAGCAATCATGTAACGAAAACAAAGAAAAAGATCAGACCTGGCGCAGAGCATTTTTATAGAAGCAAAGTATCCTTTGTAAGGACTTATTCAGGAAACACATGTTATACAAATTATTGAATTATTTCACGTATTTTCTATACAAATATGTTGGCGATCAAAAATGAGGTGTAAACGTTAGTTGGGGTTTCAAACATACTCTCATTCCACAGATATGCCATAATGACTATACAAACTATAACACTTCTGAGGCAGACAGCATCAGACCATTGAAAAGATGTTTTCAAAGTTCCTTGCAAAATGGATGCCACCAGACAAATCCTGAACTCAGATACAGGAATTAGTATCTATTTGTAGAAATCTCATCAGAAGTAAATCCTGGTTGAGAGGAAAGCAGCAAAACTTAGCATGAGGGTGGGAAAATAACAAACATCTAAAAATTATTTTTAGGAAGTGCAAAGAATGTAGTAAAGAGGTCAGTACGTGCTAACATGCATTTAGTCATAATTTAGTATTGCTGGCTGACCTGTTTGGACAGGATTTTTAACAAGTTGAACTAACTAATGGGATCATAGGCAGTTTGCTCGTTTAAACGTCCAGGCAAAAAAAAACCGACAAATCTGGTATGTGTACGAGTAATAAAAATAAGGACAAAGTGATAGGCTTCAGGTGATATCTGCTACCTTATGGAACCACCAAAAGTTAGCAATTTTTCTATTTCACAAATTTCCAAAATAAAATTCTATCCAGATCTAATAATCCAATGCAAAGCCCTAGGATAGCACCGAAAATTCTGGACGCTGAAAAGAAAGCGTGCTTCAGTTGAAGAGCAGCAGCTAGCACGTACAAAAGGAATTGTAAAGGTACGAATCGTGGAGATATCTGGGAAAATAACCCATGCTTTCATCCTTTGAAGAGTGTATAACGTTTTCGTGGCTGGAAGTACATGAAAATCACGGTGGTGTTTCTTGGTTAGGGGTTTTCTGATACATTTTACTTTTTTTGCCTACCAATCGCACGATAGTTATTCAACACTGCCTTCTTGTAGTCAGGAAATTACTGCCAGCTTTGCTGCGCCCAATCGCAAAAAGTTGATGTCAATTTTTCGGCACATTAACTCGCCAAAACATCTTCAAACACATTAACTCGCCAAAACATCTTCAAACAGTAGCCTATTTTGCCTTCATAATCTATTTTGGCACATTTATGAGACAAATTCAGAGGGCAGAGTTTCGTAAATAGTGCGAAACATTAGAGAATATGGCTCTGCTTTGTCAAAAATACAGATTTTTCACTCGTGAATCAGCAGCAATTTGCGTATAACACTTTGGATTGAAGAAAAACGGAGTCTAATCACATTCATTAATTTTGCTGTACACAATAATACGACAAACGCTTAATAAAAAAAAATAACAAGAATGGTTCATGGTGCTTATCGACAGAACACACGTGAGAGACACAAGAATGTATCGTTTTGCGACAAAAGAAGATTGTTTGCAAACAATTGCAACGTTTTCTGTAGGAGAATACCACTTTGATAAGGAGGATGGCGCAATAAAAAAATTTCATGACATAAAGAAAACCATAGACATTTTGTCGAAGTCTGCAGAGAAAATGCTGACTAACAATGAAAAGGGGTGAACTGATCATGCACAGAAGTTTGCGAATGGGCAATCAAAGACCTCGCCTAGCGGGTAACAGACATCGATTATTTAGCGCAACGATTGACCGATTCATCAAAAACAGAGTTGCCAGAGTGATCGATCGGGTTTGGATAAATGGAGCTATGTTTTTTGTTGGTTTTAGCAAACAGTGCAAAGATTCTTCGCCAAATGATCATAAAAGAAAAAAAGTAAGAACGACGCTAAAGATCGGACTTGCAAGATGTATGGCTGACGACCAGCGACCTTGCGAAAGTGTTCCATGGTCTCATTGAGTTTCACTTGAACCGCGCACCTTACCTTCACTTGTACCTTATATGTAGAGTAAAAAATTGGACCATGGGAAGATACGAGTAAAATGCGAAGTTTGGAAGTTGAAGATTTCGATATTCGGTAAAACTACTTGGAAAATTGCGATGTAAGCACTTCCTCACAGCTTCTTTTTAGATAAAGCAAAGAAATGCTTGAAATTTTTATAGCAATTCGGATATTAGAGCCCGTTGTGAAAAACCTGAAACTTTTAGATCAAGTTGGAAATAGACTTGAGGACAGAAGAAAACAGGACCATCACCAAAAAGGACTCATTGTAAGATATGAGAAAACATTTTAAACTTGAAAATGAAAAACAGCACCGCCACAAAAAGACGAGTTGTGAGATTCAACAAGACAATTTTTCTTCTCCATGAACTCTAATTACTTATGTAAGCGGTATTGAGAATTTGAAATGAAAAATCAGAATTCCTTTGGAAGAAGTGACATCAATCTAATCGAGAAGGAGATACGTTTTCCGCTCCATCCATCAACTCTTTTCCAGAGAACACTAATAGTGACCTTGAGAAAAGAAAAGCTATTCAACGCAAACTCAAACTTAACCAAATTCTAAGTTTTCATTTGACAGATATATGATTGAAACTTATCACTAAAATGAGCCAAACCAAAAAAAAATGTTTGAACTTCATTTTTGACCAAATAAGGAGCTAGATTGTGGTTTCAACCAAATAATTTTCAACAACTCAACGCTTCTGTTTTTCATGTCGCAAACACACTCGATTTTCTCAAAAAGAAGCAGAATAGAGAATGGATCACATAAATTGTATTCGTAAGTGGAACTGCAATGCAACTGAGATAAAAGAGTTCTAGAATTGATCAGAGGTCAAAAGTGCAGGGCTCGGCACGAGGTGGCTAGTTTGAAAATGCAAAAAACGAAGTCCTCCTTGACTTTTGCGAATTTTTACGAAGTCCCCTTTGACCCTAGACCATAATCCCCAAAAAACTAAATGTCGCAAATTTTGTGCCTTTTCGGCCACAAAAACGAGACCCCCTTTACTTTTTGTCCCAAAAACGATATCCAGCTTGCTCATAAGCCACCTGTGCCGAGCCCTGCAAAGGTGTTTTTCTGTGACTCTACAACTGTGCAAGGTTTACCACTTCTGTTCTTGCTGTTAAGAGCTTTGAGAAAATTTGAGATTTTGAGAACATGGCGAGAAATGGTGATCAAAGTGGCAGTGCAGAGTATGTCACAACCAAATTAGGTTCCCCATAGCAGGATAACTTAGGAGTCGCATACAGATTACCTTATTAAAATTTGAAGAGATTCTAATATTAGGTTTTTATGAGGATATTTTCCTTTGAGTATGTATGCAGGAGCCATGAGTTGCAGATAGAAAACAATCAGGAATTGCGTGAACATGTGCGCGCAAATGCCGTAATCACACCTATAACGCTCAATACACGGCAAAAAACACAATGTTTACTAGCTTGTTTGTTTTCCGATTCAGATCAATGAAGTCGCTAGAATTCCCAAACTTGCGATGCAAATATAGTAAAAAATATGCAGTTATATACAATGCTCATTCATAGCTTAAGAGCTCCCAAGTTCTATATGGTAACACTATAAGAATTTATTACTACTTACTAATAAAATCACAAAATATGCGTTATGTTCTAGAACGGTATAGGTTTGAGATCTGCTTCGAAAAAGCCACCATTGTGCTCTTTTGTCAGTTTATAGAATGTTGGGACCAATCTTTCAGCTGCTTCATCAACCTGGAATAAAATATCTGATAATGATTTGTGTATAAAAAAACGAAAGACGAAAAAAATCAAAGGTGAGCGACTTACCGTCATAGGGGCTTGCTTTCCACCTATGGCCGTCTCCACCCATCCAGGATTGAAATTCGCAACGAGGATACGGTCTTTTTCTAAATCTACGGCCATGGTCCTCATCAAAGCATTCAAAGCGGCCTAAATATTTTTTTGCTTCGACGACGACTTTGCCCAAACTTGCCGGTCTTACTTTACTTATCCTGTACGCCAACAATCCTGGATGACCTGATCCAGAAGTGTTCTCGGATATAGAACCGATGCTTGCGGAGATGTTCAAAATCGCAGCTCGTTCAATCGAGAACTCGTCCGACTGGGATTGTTTAGCAGCTTTGCGTACCAGTGGAAGGAGCGTCTAAGCTTTCAACTTCAAGAATTTTTGAGTACAGTAGGCGATTTACCTTACCTGGGTAAGCACAGCAACACTGGCCGCATTAGTGTCAAAATTTTTGATGAGTGCACTACGATCGGGTTTCTGATTTGTTGTGTAATTGACGAATATCCCAGCGTTGTTCAACAAAACATTGAGACCATGATCTCCAACGATTTTTTCCACCTGAAATTAGCTTTTTTTTCAGGGGAGCATTAGACCGATATCATCTTAATTTGTATAGAAAATCGTTGATGATACAGAACTCAAAGCGGTCCTCGAATTCATTACGTATAATCGACACTAATCTTATATATAAAGCTGAATGTCTGTTTGTATGTATGTATGTATGTATGTATGTATGTATGTATGTACAGTCGAGTAGATTTAGCGGTAAATATAGTGTGCTTGCACAGAAGGTGAAATGTGGTGAAATTTGCGCGTGAACAAGTAGCCACGTCAGTACCGCGGGTATCTTGCGCGCGCAATTGGCCGGCGTCACACTCGAAACTATTTCTTCACGCGCCAATTTTACCGCATTTCACCTTCTGTGCAAGCACACTATATTTACCGCTAAATCTACTCGACTGTATGTATGTATGTATGTATGTATGTATGTATGTATGTATGTATGTATGTATGTATGTATGTATGTATGTATGTATGTATGTATGTATGTATGTATGTATGTATGTATGTATGTATGTATGTATGTATGTATGTATGTATGTATGTATGTATGTATGTATGTATGTATGTATGTATGTATGTATGTATGTATGTATGTATGTATGTATGTATGTATGTATGTATGTATGTATGTATGTATGTATGTATGTATGTATGTATGTATGTATGTATGTATGTATGTATGTATGTATGTATGTATGTATGTATGTATGTATGTATGTATGTATGTATGTATGTATGTATGTATGTATGTATGTATGTATGTATGTATGTATGTATGTATGTATGTATGTATGTATGTATGTATGTATGTATGTATGTATGTATGTATGTATGTATGTATGTATGTATGTATGTATGTATGTATGTATGTATGTATGTATGTATGTATGTATGTATGTATGTATGTATGTATGTATGTATGTATGTATGTATGTATGTATGTATGTATGTATGTATGTATGTATGTATGTATGTATGTATGTATGTATGTATGTATGTATGTATGTATGTATGTATGTATGTATGTATGTATGTATGTATGTATGTATGTATGTATGTATGTATGTATGTATGTATGTATGTATGTATGTATGTATGTATGTATGTATGTATGTATGTATGTATGTATGTATGTATGTATGTATGTATGTATGTATGTATGTATGTATGTATGTATGTATGTATGTATGTATGTATGTATGTATGTATGTATGTATGTATGTATGTATGTATGTATGTATGTATGTATGTATGTATGTATGTATGTATGTATGTATGTATGTATGTATGTATGTATGTATGTATGTATGTATGTATGTATGTATGTATGTATGTATGTATGTATGTATGTATGTATGTATGTATGTATGTATGTATGTATGTATGTATGTATGTATGTATGTATGTATGTATGTATGTATGTATGTATGTATGTATGTATGTATGTATGTATGTATGTATGTATGTATGTATGTATGTATGTATGTATGTATGTATGTATGTATGTATGTATGTATGTATGTATGTATGTATGTATGTATGTATGTATGTATGTATGTATGTATGTATGTATGTATGTAAAGCAGTGGTATCAACGCAGAGTACTTATGTATGTATGTATGTATGTATGTATGTATGTATGTATGTATGTATGTATGTATGTATGTATGTATGTATGTATGTATGTATGTATGTATGTATGTATGTATGTATGTATGTATGTATGTATGTATGTATGTATGTATGTATGTATGTATGTATGTATGTATGTATGTATGTATGTATGTATGTATGTATGTATGTATGTATGTATGTATGTATGTATGTATGTATGTATGTATGTATGTATGTATGTATGTATGTATGTATGTATGTATGTATGTATGTATGTATGTATGTATGTATGTATGTATGTATGTATGTATGTATGTATGTATGTATGTATGTATGTATGTATGTATGTATGTATGTATGTATGTATGTATGTATGTATGTATGTATGTATGTATGTATGTATGTATGTATGTATGTATGTATGTATGTATGTATGTATGTATGTATGTATGTATGTATGTATGTATGTATGTATGTATGTATGTATGTATGTATGTATGTATGTATGTATGTATGTATGTATGTATGTATGTATGTATGTATGTATGTATGTATGTATGTATGTATGTATGTATGTATGTATGTATGTATGTATGTATGTATGTATGTATGTATGTATGTATGTATGTATGTATGTATGTATGTATGTATGTATGTATGTATGTATGTATGTATGTATGTATGTATGTATGTATGTATGTATGTATGTCTGTCTGTCTGTCTGTCTGTCTGTCTGTCTGTCTGTCTGTCTGTCTGTCTGTCTGTCTGTCTGTCTGTCTGTCTGTCTGTCTGTCTGTCTGTCTGTCTGTCTGTCTATCTGTCTGTACGTAGTTCCGAATAGAAAATTCCATTTCTGAACCGATCCGGACCAAACTTGGCAAACATACACTTCGGGCCCCGGCGGGTGTCATAGGCTACTTTTCGTCATCGATCGATATCGATTTTATCGATTTTTATCGATTTTTTTGCTGAGTTCACCTACGGGGCTGGGAGTTGGCACAGGGGGTAATCGAGCATGGGGATTCCGAATACAATATTGGTTTTCAGGATTATCGATTACTTTTATCGATTTTACGATTTTTTTGCAAAGTTCGAGCTTCGGGGCTGGGGGTTCGCACAGGGGGGTAATCGAGCATGGGGATTCCGAATACAATATTGGTTTTCGGGATTATCGATTACTTTTATCGATTTTATCGATTTTTTTGCAAAGTTTGAGCTAGGGGGCTGGGAGTTGGCACAGGGGGGTAATCGAGCATGCTGATCATTCCCAAGGGGGGTGATCAGCATGCTCGATTACACCCCTGTGCCAAATTCCAGCCCCCTAGCTCAAATTTTCAAAAAATCGATAAAATCGATAAAAGTAATGGACGGTCTTGAAAACTAATATTGTATTCGTAATCTGCATGCTCGATTACCCCCTGTGCAAACTCCCAGCCCCGCAGGTCAAACTTTACAAAAAAATCGATAAAATCGATAAAAGTAATGGACGATCCTGAAAACTAATATTGTGTTCGTAATCAGCATGCTCGATTACCCCTGTGCAAAATCCCAGCCTCGCATGTCAAAATTTACAAAAAATCGACAAAATCAATAAAAGTAATCGATAATTCTGAAAACTAATATTGTATTCGGAATCCCCATGCTCACTTCCCCCTGTGCCAACTCCTAGCCCTGTAGGTGAACTCTGCAAAAAATCGATAAAAATCGGTAAAATCGACATCGATCGATAACGAAAAGTGGACTGTGACACCCGCCGGGGCCCGAAGTGTAAGTGTGCCAAGTTTGGTCCGGATACGGCGGAGCCGGGTAAGCCAGCTAGTATCAGCTAAAATTTAGACTCTCATCCATAGAAAAAATAATAAGGTCAAAAATGTTCGAGAATGATATCCATGACATTTGAGAATGTACTTTTTGCGAATAAACGAATAAAATTGGCTTAGTGTGAAGATCGTTGATGCCATGTTGGGTCAAAATAGAAAGTGACAAGGTAATTTTAAAAAAACTGCGCGTGATGATAAGCTAATTATTATATAACCATCAAAATTTACAAAGGGGATTTTGCGTCACATTATTTTGTCTAGAAAAAAAGCAACATTTTACTGTCAAAACCTTACCTGAGGATACATATTCTTGACAGAATTATCGCATGTCAAATCCAACTCAACCACTTTGAGTCTTTTGTCGGAGATTTGTTTGAGTCCCTAAACGCAAAAACTTCATGGAGCTCCTTAGTCAACATATGAATGATCTTGAATTGACAAAATATCGGTGGGATAAAAGGCTGCCCGAAGACATAGATATTATCAAGAGGCTAGATAATCCGAAAATCAACTCGAAAAAAATGGTGAAAAATTGTTTGAACAAGCTACTTTCAACAAAGGGGCTTATGGCAGATACGAAGAGTAGACTGGGTTAGGGATAGAGATAGCCTATTACAAATATTTCTAGCACCCTGAATCCCATATGGAATTTCTAGATATATTGCAGTTATTGCTAAACATGGTAAAATCTTACCTCTTGGCTTTCGGGAGTTTGGTTTTCCTAAACAAGCAATTTGCAGTTGAAATCTTTTCCATCATAGCATCTTACTTACTTTCGAACTACTCTCATCCTTTGTTGTGGCGATCACGTGCTTGATATCTTTATTCTTCAGGAACTGCTTGACAAGTCCGAGACCAATTCCTCGATTCGCACCCGTGACAAGAACAGTATACGGGGCCATTTATCGAGTCTCAGCAGTGTTCTATTATGGAATGGACAAAAAATTTATCAATTCAAATTTTCAAGATGTCGATCTACATAGAAATTGCGTTATTACACATTTGTCCATGTAATATCCAAACAGAATTTACAGTGGTGAGAGGTCAATAACGCTTGGTGCAATCTTTAAATTTTCATTCTTCCTTCTTTTGGAATTTTTGAAACTTTCTGGACTTCATGGGCCTTTTTTATCTGGCTTGCTTTTTGATATTTTTGAACTTATTGCTACTATTAAGTTTTATATTCACAACACGAGAACATCAATCAGTAGGCAGTTGAATGTCATTCGTTGAAACTTCTCTTTTTTTTACTAGTGTTTTATTCATGATTCTTGGAGGCTTTGAGGATGATGTCGTCATGATTCTTACATTTGGACTCTTCTCGAAAATTTTCTTGAAAAATGCTGAGCCAACTGGGATTCAAAAATAGCATTGTACTCTGTTTGCCCTGTCAAACTGCTATCATATCTCTTCCAAAGGTACAATGAAAATTTTAGAAAATACCAAAACTTGGGCATGGTGAAAACCATCGCTTAGAAAGTTTGGCGATTACTTTTTTGGACTACAAGAGCAAATACATAGCATATGTTGACTGCTAATAAGAGGAAAAATAACTGCGTAAAACAGTATTCGAACGTTTGCCTAGCTTTATTGACGTTTTTTGCGATAGGTCGAAAAAACGGCGAGAACTTCGGACCAAACTAATTAATGTTGTCTTTGTAATTCAGATTCTGTGTGAAAATTTTTTCTTCGAACATAATGGCATGTTACTTGTCGCGCTCGGCTAAAATTACTTACAAAAGTTCTGTAGTAGATTACTTATTGCAAACTCAGCCTCGTCTGTAGATTTTGTTCTATTTGAAAAGTGAAAAAATATGTAGAGAAGTTGGAATCTAAGTACAACTGCATAGACAAATACGGGAACCTATAATGCTCGGTCAGCAAGAATGATGTGTCAGAGCAACAAATGATCTCAACATATCGAAAACTGACTAATTTCGAGAGCATCAAATTAAATAGGACAAGATATTAGCACCTTGAGATCGTGTTATAACTGATAGAAAAGCTTGCTAGCTGTGAAAATCTCGTATCGATTGAAAATGTCTGAATATACGTAGTAGACGCAAAACAGCTTTGCCTGCGAGGGGAAAACAACTAGTTGTTTACCGCATCTCTGGCCTCCATGCAGAAAAAATCGAAAGCAGACATGGCAACATCAATAGAACTACTGCAGTACGCAAAAAGTGCTAATATGAAAATTCGTTTGCTAGTTTTTTGCTATCGATACTGTTACAATTGGATTTGTAGTTGTAAATACGAGCTCACTACGTTAGCAAAAGTGCATAGATTAACTTTTACTACCTTCTCGTTGAAAAAAAAAAGATTTTTTAGACCATATAGCGCTGTTGCTTTAAATTACAAAATCCATCACTTAAAGGCAGCGTCCAGACAGAATCTCGACTTCTATTTCTTGCCTCATGCAGGCCTTTTCATGGCGCTGATTCCAGATGTAGCACGCAAAATGCGTGAATTGCACAAAAAACCCCACTTTTGAGACAATTTTGTAAGAACCGTGGACTAGTGTTCCCAATGCTATCCTTGTCGAAAGCAAGCAATAACAGGTAGATACTTGTTCGATGTGTTTATCACGTGAAAACACGTCAAGGGCTGGAGAGAGTTCTTTCAAGGGGCGGGTGGTGCGAAGGAGTGGGCGTGATGCTCGAGGCTCGGCCTCTTCTGCTCCGACTTTCTCCTCTTGCAGGGGGTGTTGGAAACCGAATTTGCGCAATAGTTCTAGATCAAGGCCCTTGTACTCGGGTTATGATAGTACCCGAAAATTTCAATTCTGCCCGGACGCCGCTCTTTAAAGAATATCGTATCGTAAATCTACTCATCTGGGATATCACATGCTTTGGCTAATAACAAAATAGTCCATAACAAAGTTGTCACTCATTATCATTTACATTAAACGCTGGCCTATCATCAGGTACACGAATAATGCTGAGATTTTCTTTTTGCTGAATTGTCTCATCCGAATCTTGTACATCATTCACTCAGAACAGTAAGTCTTCTCAGACAATTCACCGGAACTTCCGCAGGACAAGCAGTATTTGCAACGGTTCCGCAGCACTTTCTCAAGCATCGAAAAAGTGCACGCTTCATTATGCAGGTTTTCCGCATGAAATTGAGTCAATGCTATTGTAAACCGGAACCTCCACAGCACTTGCCATAAAGCGCTGCGAGAATGGAATATCTTAAGGTTTCCGCAGCACTTTGACCTGCCAGCACATCCGCAGGATTTTGGGAGCGCAGGCACTTGTGATTGTGGAACAGCGAACAGGTAGCTCACGTGCGTCATCAAGCTCATCGCTGTTGTCTTCCTTACGTTTCTCGCTTCTGCTGCGGAAGTTCCGGACAGTTGCTGATTTGTTAATGTTCCAAATCTCTTTTACTCGATTACTCATGCTAGCAGAGAAACTTCGCTTCTTTATGACTGAATCCAAGACTTTTATTCATGATCATAAACGATTACTTCACACTTTTTCAAGTATTATAAAAGCATGTTTATCTACGGAATGAAGATCGAATATGTTCTAGCTTTGTTACCTTTCATTGCTGGTACAGGAATGAATATTTAAAAAGTGATATTTCATGGGGATACCAGGCAAAGAATGTGTTTGCGGTGTCACGAAGCTGTGACGGTTATAAGCTGCTAACTACATACTTGAGCTTTGTAAATGATTCACCCTAGACATAATAGATAAAACTAAACACAACAACGCCTTGATTATGAACTTTCTTCAAAGGTGTCATTCCGCAGTTGTGGCAAAGGAAAATTGAATAGCACATAGTCCCAGAAGAATATCTGAACAACACGATAAAATGAATCAGACTGTGACCAGATATAGAAAGATTTCTTACTTTTCCACATTTTACTTTTATAAGAAAAATTGTTACCGTGCCAGATATGGTTTATACTTGATCCAAAGAAACTCTTAACCAACTGCTATGTATTCAGAATGGATATCCGCCTTTGCTTTTTATCCTTTGCTGTCACCAGCAAAATCTTATATAGGCGAATTTACCTCAAAATACTTTACTCCTGAAGTTTACCAGTGATTTTTGTATTGGGAAAGATAGTGAAGCACAAATTAAGATAAAAAACATTTTAGACAAAATAGCAAAATATGCTATTGAGGACGACACTTTATGGCATTTCTAGAACAATTAACGAATGGACAAAAATATGTTTCCGATACATCAGAAAAAAAATTATGATGTTTTCACAAAATTTTCTTCTTCTGATTTTAGATTTTCTGATTTTTCTGAGAATCGCCAAAGATTTCGTGACAACGTAACAGTTATATCTACGACACACAGAATGACCTTCAATAATCAGTTAAGAAGATCATGAGTTGTCAGTTTTTCCCAGAGAGTGTCAAACAGACAGCCCTGGCAAATTCAGGATAAATTCATCCACGTATGAAATATAGAGTTTAGGACATTCATTTGAAAAATTGCCATAATGTAAAAATACAAAAAATTTACCTTTGTTAGCAGCTCTTGTATCTCTGCATCTTGCATTAGTTTTTCATACTCAGCCGTTTCCTCATAGTAATAGGTAGCATGGCGTGTTGTACCATTGGATACTTGAGAAATGATGAGCTCGATTTGTGAGAAATCCACTCCTCCTTCTGTAGGATGCTACTTTTAGATTTAAAGCGGAATTAGTTTGGATAAGTAATTATTAGGGTGTCTCATAATTTTTTACCGTTTTTACTGCAACTGCCCTCTTTTGGTACCTTTCCTTCAGTTGTTGATGTGGCTTGAGTAATCTATACAAGTTGGCTATGAAGAGTGCCCATATCGTAATCCACGTGAAGCTTTGAGCTGAAACTGAGAACTTTGCCCTCGAAAATCGTATCTCCGCCCCCAAAAAATCTCAAAAATCCCCCATTTATTTCAGCATATGATTAACATATCGCACAATCAATTTTACAGTTTTTTCCATGGCTAGAAATAAAAAAAATGAATGGAATAAATTAGCAAGCTCCGCCCCTAAACGTCTTGAGATCCTCCACGCACGTGATTATATGACTCAGATATACAGAATACGATTAGTATTTGTACATTTTGTAAGTGTCCCATTCTCATCAGGTAAAAAAAGGGTAATAAAATTATGAGACACCCTAATAGTTGCAGCAAACCTGTTAGCACATCTCGAAGATCGGCTGTTACCTTTCCCCTATTTTTTGATGAGTACTGTATAAGTTTGAATGCGTCGAAATTGTTTCGTAGTTCGAGGTGCCTGCAAAAACTAAAATAACTCATGGTATTCACATGGTGGTTTGGGACAATGTGACCATTTCAAAAGTGATGATGTCCTATGGAACGCTGATTACAAAAGTGACTTGGGTAGAGAATATTAGGTCGCCGAAAGTGGAGATTTCACGCGGACACTTGCAACAAATCACGCGCCTTCACCATTACTGCTCCATGCTAGCTGTCCGCGTGAGCGGAGCTTATCGGTGACCTTACCCAAATGACTATCGTACCGGCGGAATGCCATGTAAGAATGTGAGCATTATTGCAGAAAAAATTGTACATGCCTTGTATCATCCATAGTCTTGGAGCTGAAAAGGGCAACTTTTGTAGGAATATTAGACCAATATGAAAGTTGTATGGAGCGTCCTTAGGACTAAGGCATACCTCGCGCGATTTCGTCAAATCGCTACATCCATGCGACTTGGCAGTTTGCCACATATTTACAGATAAATCGTGTGCGGGTCCTAAGTGCATAGGCGCGTAGCCACGTAAGTTATAGCAAAAGTTTTAAGTGTGGTCCATGCAGCGCACTAATGACCAGTTACGAGGAGCAGCTGCAGTGCCAGATCGCTCAGCGACTGGAATCGCGTGAAGTGTGCGTTAGGCCTTAGGCCTAAGGCATGCTTCACGCGATTTTAGTCGCCGCGCGATTTGCACTGCAACGACTCTCCATAACTGGTTGTAAACGCACATTGCTTGGGCCAGACTTGCGGTATTTGTTACAACTTACGGAATCCACGCACCCAGGCATCCGAGAGCCTCACATGCTTAATCTCTAGACATCTGGCAAATCGCCAAGTCGCGAGGATGTGGCGATTTCGCGAAATCGCGAGAGGTATGCCTTAAGCCTTAGGGTGCCTTCATATCGCGCCGGCAGCCATCGCTAGCAGCCCGTAGCCGCCGCCGGCCGTTTTTGTTATTATAAGAGCGCAAAATCACTGCATGCAGATAATAGAAGGCAAACGAGTCTAAATTCACCTATCGTAACAAAAATTAGGCGTAAACTCATTACAAGGTTAACATCCACCAAACTACTCATTCTACGACTGAGGCCCCGCCGGAATCCGAAGCCACTCCAGCGCTACGTCGGCGCCGAGCCAGCGCCGCGCTGTCCCGTTTGTTCGGGGCGGGGCTAGCTGACCCTGTGCGGGCAAGGGCTACCGGAGCTTCTGGCAGATTCGATCAATAGTCGGCGCATCTACTCAGATAACCGCCGGGGGCAGGCGGCCATGCGAATTTTGAGCAAGCGCGCACCGGAAAAATAGTTCGTTGATTTTTTGCGGCCCGCTTGCAGAAATTTGGAAGAAAGTTGGCGAAATTAAAGACGAATGCTTGAAGAACAATCGCGGTTTCTTTATGGATTAGCTGCGGTGCAGTGGCCGCATTCTCGCGAACTTTCCGCGAGAATATGCAAAAATTTCGAGGGCCGCACGGTCCTTTGTGGAGGACCGCGCAACCCCCAGGTACTTTCCGCTGAGAGAAAGTACCTCAAACTTGAGTAATTAAACCAACGGTGACACCTCGGCCACACAGAGTCTTACCTGCGCTCGACGTACGCCCGAAAATACCTAAAAAGAGTCCGAGCGCTTGCTGAAAGTTTGGCCAGCGCTCGCTGGAAGATATTATTTGACGAGCGCTCGCAGAAAATTCTGTATTGCTGCCCGCTGGCAGAACGCGGAAGTACCGCCCGCTGAAGGTTTGGCCACGCCCCAAAATTCTGCTGACCGCCTGCAGAAAAGCGCGAGTTTGCGGACCGCCTGTCCCCGGCGATTATCTGAGTACCTGGCTGGGAACTAGGTCAGCTAGCCCCGCCCCAACGAAATACACGTGTGTCGATCGAAACGGCGTCGGGACAGCTCGGCGCTAGCTCGACGCTGGCTCGGCGCCGGCGCAGCGTTGGCGTGGCTTCAGCACTCTGGCGGGAGCCTGAGCGCGTGCCGTGCCACCCGATAAGGTGCGCATGTCCATGACTTCTATCGCAGTTGTCGCTTAAAAAAAAGGAACATTTTCCATAGAAAGAATCGCAAATATAAGTGCTATGGCGTGTGAAGTTCAGTTCTCGTCGATTTTCTTATCGCATCAAGGTTTCTCAAGCGTACGTCTCCAGAAAGGTTTTCTGTCTGTTGTTAGAGCAATGGTTTGAAGTGGATCGATGATTTAACCCATTGACGAGAATGTGGACCACCGGTGACTCACACCCCTTGCAAAATCATGCTCCTTCCAGGTCTGATATTTTTTCATAGTTCAGTGTTTTCTTCCAGTTTTTTTGCACTTTTGGAACCTGTAGACACTGTCGTCCAAGAAGATAATTGTAATTGTTCACAAAATGACTCTACATTTCGTAAACGATCACAAAATTTGCCGCGTTGAAAATGTAGTGCAAAATCGCGTTGTCCCATAGCGCCGCCACGCAAAATTAGGCGCCATCGTCAATGGTTCAATTACATACCCGTTTGGTTGTTTTTGAGTAATATGGGTACTTCACTTTTCAAGTGCCAATGAAAGGTAAAGCTTAGAGTGGACTTTGCTGGCTCAAAACAAAATGGCTTTCCAACCACATCACGTAAGCTTTCGTAAGAAATGGAGTTTGCTCATGAGCTAAGTGTCTTTGACACTTTCAAAATGGCAATTCAGTTACATAAGCAGGGAGAGGAATTTAAAGTGCGATATGTAGGCTATTACGAGTACATTTGCAGAAGTGAGATCCATATAAAAAATGAAGACCCTGCACATTCACCAAGAACGCTGAATGGAGTCACTAGTAAGTAATTCGCTTTCTATGATCGTGTATGCAGCAGTGTAGTAGAAAACTGATGATTTTGCGCTTATACGGTAACAAAAGCGGCCAGCGGCGACGGTCTGCTGGTGGCTGCTATGGGCTGCTAGCGGCGACTGCCGGCGCGTATGAAGGTACCCTCAAATCTATCATTGCCTTTCAAGCGCATGAAAAACTGCTATAGACAATTCTATTCTATCGCGACAAGGATTCGTCTTAGCTTGTACCCTCTGTGCCAATGGGAGTGACGGTTGTGGTTGGGCTCGGCTACCGCGCAGCTGCATCGCCTGAGCTTGCATCTTCCTCGCCAGTGTAATCTCTATTCATTTTTTCAGACTACATTAGTGCTCGTAATGGGAAAAAGATTAGGCACGTTCGCGAGAGAGGTGCAGAGCACAGGCGAGGCGAGCGTGCGGTAGCCGAGTCCCACCCAGCGCCTCACTTCCAATGAAACAGAATGTGTTCGTAACAGGGAAGTGTTTTGCAGATATGAAAAACACTTTTGCAATTACATCAGGCTGCTGCCTAAGTTCTGTCCGTTTAATTTTTTGAGTTCAAAATGTCATAACTTCTTTCAAAAACAACTTTTTTCCAAGACCTTAGTTTCTAATCATTGAGCAGTTCCTTGGCAATCAGACACATACTGAGACCTGCGAAAATCCCTGTTAAGGAAAAACAAGAACTCAAAACGTCACAGCGTTTTTCTTCAAACCTGTCTTTTTTGACATGGCAATGCTCCTTTATAAAACTGATAAATTTCATCTAGCAATGGATAAGTAGAGGAATTTTTCGTAGATTTTTTGCGACATAAAGACCCCATAAAATTTGCGCTGCCGAGAGATTATTGTGACCGAGCAAAAAAGAAGCCACTTTTTGACCTCGCTTCAGCACATGCGTGCATGCCTACTTACGAATTATATAATTTTTACAACTTTACTTTTTATAACTTCATTAAAAAGTGTTCATGAATGAGTCTTAATGCGTTTTAGTTGATTCACTATTAGAGTCCTTGGAAGAACATGTTTGAGCTCGTTGAAACTACGCTGGCTTCAACACGTTTTTTCATGAACTCCTAACTCAGACACTCGCTGTTGACTCGCGCAGCCCAAAGTTTTGTGTAAGCGCTGAACGAAGGCGCGACACAAGTAATCGGCCTCGCGACGAAATCCCCAGACAGCATTATTTGTCGGAACAATGCTGCCCGAGACCACGCTTTGACGCGACCCGCATCTTGCAGGAAATACGCGGCAGCTCAAGGGCGACACATCCTGATGTCCCGGTGCAACTGGAGCGCGTTATTTCGCACTAGTAATTTCGCCATATCCCCACTTGCTATACATTACATATATGTACATACTTACATGTGTATGTATAAATATACAATATATATATACATGTATATAAATGTACATATATGTATATATATGTATATATAAGTGTACATATATATATGTATATGTACACGTATATATATATATATATATATATATATATATATGAATCCTACAAAGTCTGAACTAACCAATTTATTACTTCTAAAATGACATAAGGATTAATTGGAAACTTCATTAGCACATAGTGAATTTACTTCAATCTTAGGAACATTTCAATGTTTCTAAGATTGAAGTAGTTATGTTAGAGTTATGAGTTAGAGTTAGAGTTATGTTCAATGTAGCCACGGAAGAAAATCAAATAAGAACTTCGGAAGAGTCAAACTACTATGTTTGCTATCTTAAAGCTTCACGTTATGGAGAAACATGATGAGATAGAAGTGTACTTGGTAATCTTCTAAACAATGAGAATCGCGGAATGCAATTAAGTGATACGCAAAAGCGGGAGTAGAGTTAAGGCAAATGGTATGATAGTGATATGTAAGTGCAGCTGTCAAAGGGCGCGGATCACCGACCTACCGATCTTCAGTGGCGGGAAGAAAAGCCCGCGCTGACCCCTTCGGCAGGGTATAAATACCGGGAGTCAGGGGGAGTCTCGGAGTCCGCGCTGGAGAAGCGCTAGAGGGAGCTAACTCCGTCGAAGAGAGGCGGAACTCCCCCTTAGATAGAGAGTGCCTAGTAACTAGTTAGCCTGCCGAAGTGGTCAAGAGGGTAAAGCCCGTCGTACCGTTGTTGAGCCTTGTTCAAGTTACGGATTATTGTTTCTTGTTGTTTGTTGCCGTTTTCTGAGATAAACTGTTAGTCGTTCAATCCGTGTTGTCTATCGATCCGGTTAAAACCGTTATACCACTAGACACCCCCGTTACATGGGGGCCGAGCAGACCTGGATCGATTGAAATACACACGGGGCGACTGATATTGACTGTCTCAGAGGCAAAACAGCAGAGAACGCGTAGAACAGGCTAAGAAAACGAAACCAAAAGACCAAAAAGGTGGGAAATCTATACGTCATCAAGCAGGTGACGTACGTAACAGGCCAAGAAGGCCAGATCTAAGATCAACTGGAAAAAAGTCTCTATCATACCATACAGAGCAGGCAGTTAAGGTATAAGGGAGAAGTGATTATTGATTAAATCATCCACGCTCAATAGAGGCGTGAGTATCGACTGTGATTGACTCTCCTCGATCAGCTGAGACGCGCGATTTCGCGTGCGGTGTTGATTACCGATGAATGTAAAGGCAAGGCGAAGCATTTCGCTGCCGAGTACGTTCATGTTCATGGATACGGATCAGAAGCAAAGATGCGCAGATGATATCCATGAGAGAAAAGCACACTTGATGATGGAGGAGATAAACCTCATCAGGAAAGAAGTGGAAATGCTACCTGGGATGGTAAGCAAGGTCCTTAACCGATGTGGGATACCGGTTGATGGATTGCCACTTGAAGAAGAGTTGGAGGCTAAGGTAGCCACAGTGTTAGGTAGGCTGGAGAATCTAACAGCCGAGTTAAACCAGATACTCGGTCCCAGAGCAACGGCAGTTGCAGTGGGGGAAGGCAGTGTGTTGAGAGGGTCGGAGGTCGGACCACTCGACAATCATCGAGGTGTGGAAAATCAGATGCTCAGCTATTTTCAAAGCATGACTTTTCCTGATCCTGGAGTCTTCAAGGGTTGTGATGATGAGGACTTTGACAGATTCATTCGGAAGTTCAAAAGAAAGTATGGCACCATTGCCCAGGATGAGCAGTTGCTGATAGAGGTCCTGGGTGATGAACACTTGCAAGGACGAGCAAGGTCCTTATTTCTGAGCATACCCATGGGGGTAAGACAGCAAGGCTTTGATAGAGTAGTGAGGGAGATGGCCTCACTACTGGCCTGTGACTCCACAGCAGCTAGGTTAAAGGCGCTGACAGCCTTAAGGAACATGCGCTTAAGGCCAGGCCAGGAGGTTGCAGACTTCTGTGTCGCCCTCGAGAACCTAGCAAGGAAGGCCAATCCTCAATGTACCATTGAGGAAAGATCGATGGAGTATGCACAGATTCTACTGGAGAATCTGACGTCATGGCCGGAATACGTACAGCTGGTGGGAACCCTACACCAGGTGGACCAGCTGAGGCATATAACAGGATAAAGGAAGTTGCGATTGAGATCGAGCAATCGCGAAGGTTCTGCAAATTTGAGAGAAGGAGTGAACAGCAAGCTCCGTCCTGGAGGAAAGCAAGTAGAAATGAAGGCTATGTGCCAGCCATGACCCAAAGTCGAAGCAGCTCAGCGGAGAGAGGCGAAAGGGAAGTTGGCATGAGAAGGCAGGAGCCAACGAGTAGCTCGAGCGCCTATAATGAGGATCAGGGAGACAAAAGATGCTTCAAATGTGATTTCGGACATGCGATGAGAGATTATAAGCACAGGAAAACGGAGAAGGAAGGTGTCATCAAGACTTTGAATGGAGGGACATCAATGATAAGTAGGAGCCGGAACATGGTCGTAAAGAGCTCCCAATCCAACGCATACGGACTTGTTGGCGGGATTACATTGACTCAAGCGAGAATGTTGGGAAGAAAGGTTTCGACGCTTCTAGACACGGGCTCAGAGATAAGTATGCTACCCTTGAGCGTGCTTATAGAGGCGAGGAACAATGGGTACGATGTCGAGTCACTTCAGACTTTCGACATTGTGGAAGGAAGCATATACGATGCATCCAACTATGTGATGAGCTTTCTCGGAGGTGTAAAAGTAGAAGTAGAACTAGAAGGAGGATGCAAGAAGGAAGTGGCTTTTTATGTTTCCGACGATAGGAATGAGGAAGTACTCATTGGCACAAATGCATTGACGAGTCTAGGGGTGGGCGTAGTGATACACAAGAAGCCTGAAGTCAAAGTAAAAGCAAAGGATAGGATGGTGCCTCCACATAAGAGAAACACCGCCTCAGTAGGAGCGAAGATCCAACAAGGTACTATAACTGTGAACAGATCTATGTCAGAGAAGGACAGATCTGTAACTGTCAACAAGAAAACTTTTATCGAGAGAAGAAGAGATGTCAAAGCAGACAAAGGAATCCGGCCAGGGGAAGCTTGTGAGCGCAAGTGGAAGAAGTCGACACGTAGGAAGGGCAGCAAAAAGCACACTCCTTCCAGAAGTGATCGGAAAATGTGCGGAGAGGCACAGAAAAGAGTCAAGGTTCAGAAGACAAGCAGTAAGAAAGGACAAAGTTCTGAGAAGGAACGTCCTGTTGCGTTTATTGCACCGAGATGTGCAACATCATTTGAGGAAGTTGGGCTGAAGAAGTGTGGAGTACTGACCAAGGTGGCAGTATCATTTAGTCAACTCAAAGAAGCGTTGAAATACTTGAAGAACTGTCGTATGTGGATCATAGTATGGCCCATGAACCCAAGAAGGGAGGATGAGGCTATCATTGAGACATTGCGGATATGCAAGAAGTACCTCGAAGAAGGGGGAAAGATTGTATCCGTGTGGCCGCCACCACTGTTCAAGAAGATTGGTATGTGGAAAACGAAGTCGAAAGTGTGGTCGGTGATTGAATCAGTACTGAAAAAATGGGCAAACCCAAATCACTTGTTCACGTTGGATCCCTCAAGGACAGAAATTGGGAACGTGAACAGAGAAGCAGATGGACCCCAAAAATTCTTTTCAGGTATACGACACGCATTTCAGGGACGGATATGCGCGCTACCACTACAACGACATTCGCAGGAGAGTTCCCGGTGCAAAGCTCAGCAAGTTGCAGCAGCCGCCGAGGACGTCGGCTCCCCGGAGGGGAGGGATGTCAGAGGGCGCGGATTACCGACCTACCGATCTTCAGTGGCGGGAAGAAAAGCCCGCGCTGACCCCTTCGGCAGGGTATAAATACCGGGAGTCAGGGGGAGTCTCGGAGTCCGCGCTGGAGAAGCGCTAGAGGGAGCTAACTCCGTCGAAGAGAGGCGGAACTCCCCCTTAGATAGAGAGTGCCTAGTAACTAGTTAGCCTGCCGAAGTGGTCAAGAGGGTAAAGCCCGTCGTACCGTTGTTGAGCCTTGTTCAAGTTACGGATTATTTTTTCTTGTTGTTTGTTGCCGTTTTCTGAGATAAACTGTTAGTCGTTCAATCCGTGTTGTCTATCGATCCGGTTAAAACCGTTATACCACTAGACACCCCCGGTTACACAGCAAATTAGAAAAAAGTAGTAGCAGATCGGCTTAAACTCGTCGAGGCTGGTCTTTTCTATTTCCTTGACAGCAGAAGAGCTGCTTGGCGTAGTCTCGATCACACGCTTCTTCTGAAAAGAAACTCATGTCGACGAAGATTAAGTGCACTGACATCTTACCTTTGGAGGAAGGAGTTTAGCTCTTACCGGATTCAGTGCATAAGCCCGTACATATCCCATCTACGTCTCCATCTCCATCATCATGCCTTGAAATACCTTGAATGCCTCAGCTGGTTCCTAAAACAATGTAATTTGAACTCAAATTCCACAATCCCACAATCACGGAGATAGTCGAGCTTCGATTTCTAGAGAAGAAACTTCAAAATTGGATTTCAAATAAAGTTAATTTTGGATTGGAATGAAATAATGGAAAGAAGAGGGCTTAGGTGGGATGGATGGAATGCGCGATTGAAAATAGGTAGCAAAGAAACCTGGAATGATGCAATATGAGCTGAGATTTGAAATGCGCGTCGATATCGCGAAACTGCTCGCTGAGACACTCATCATCTCCCGATTTCCTTTCGCGACCATCCGCAAAAACTGTCAAAATATTGTCTCGCGCATGTCTAAGCCCTTTCCCGCGAATCCCTCAAAAAAATCTCCGGCGCGAGTCAACAGCGAGTGTCTGAGAATAGTAATTAACCAAGCCGCGTTAGAACTCGTTCATGAACTTGATGATCAAAGGTACGCAAAGCGTGCTCGCGTCTCTTAGTCAGAGAGTGAATAATGTACATTTCCGATACCACATTTCAAAAAATATTCGCCTGTCACTACAGTACAAATACTCATCGTGTCAAGAAAGCATTTTGCACAATTAATATGTACCAGTTCTGAGGTCCAAGATGCCAGAGTAAATTATTATCGGCCCATGTTCCACTTGCGAATCTTTGTGATAGTTTTAATGTTTGTAGAAGGACAGCCCTCAACTTCTTCAAGCGACCTTCTTTGCAGATGCCACTAAACTTCCTTTCTGTAAATCTCCAGATATATAAATCAAGGAAGCCGAAAAGCTGCAGAACAGTCAAAGCGACTTACGGCTTGTAAATAGACAGGTAACCGCTAAGGAAACGCTCTGCTGGTTCGCGAACCATTGCAAAAGTTATCCAGGGGTGACCTTGCGCCAGTTTTTTAACTTGAGAATATGCATGTAGTTCATTGATGAATTGGCATTTCCTAAATTTTACAAAGAATAGCAGCTAAAGGGTCCTCCTTCGCAATTCTTCACTTTTTACATCATATGTTTTGCTCCGCGAAGACCAGATTTTACAGAACTGATCTGTTCAAAAGGCCAGTTTGAAAACTAAGTTTCTTTGCACAAAATAATAAACATGAATCATTTATTATTATTATCAATTCTCATTCAATTTTCATTTTTTTTTCATTTCGGTGCACACATTATGCTACCAAGTCTTGTATGTAGACGGACAAGGGCTAAGAGAGACAAAATGGGAAAAGTTGTAAGGAAAATTATGTGATTGGAAGGCGCGGTCAGCTTCTGTCTAAAAAGTTCTCACCAATGAGAAATGAATAAATGGCTCGCTTGCAACGCACACGCAACGATATGGTTTCAGAATTGGTGTGGAAAGAAAGTATGAGAAACTATAAAAAAATTATCTGAACAAAGAATTACCCAACTTCTTTTCAAATTAGGTGGGCATATGCCCATCTGATGCCACCCTGAAGATGGCAAGGCTTTCAGTTCACATAAGTTTTTCATAACTCTTACATGAATCTACTCTACATAGAACGTTTAATATAGTCCAATTTGGTTTCGGAACTCCTCCTCTTCTCTTTGCTAGAACCTCAAATAGCAAAGAGTCGAGGGAACAAAACATCACCTACTAAACTTAACAATATTTTTCAATTTGTTAATTAATGAAAGTCTACAAACGTATGAAACGACCTAATAATTTCTAATTTCGCCAGCTTTACAAAAGTGCGCAAATTTTATTTATTTTGTCATACAGGGTGGCCGGTAAATTTGGGCGTTACAACGTGTGATAAATCTTTTTTCTGAAATATTTATTATGGCGGCTCCTGGACAGTCTCTGCACTAAGATAACTAAGAATTTCGTGAACTGAAGTCTACTGATGCAAACGGAAGTCCAGAGTCTGCTTTCTCTTGAAAGGCGCTGCGACGCGTTCGTCAACACCATGTTTATAGTAACGTGTCCCATTACGGAGAGGAGAATTTTTTCCTATTACGGCATTATGATATTTCTCACACTGTGCTCTACAAAACCTCAGGTCTTAGAACCTGTTTAACTAGAATCATTATCTCCACGAAGTCGCAATGATTACATTCTTCACATAGCATCAACTTCAAGATAAGCTGCTGAAGTCTGTATGAATGTGCAGGAACCCAGTCTTATAGGAGTAACACACTAAAATGCTCCTGTTTTTGGCATACAAAAATTATTTTCACAGAACTCTTCGTGTTCTATGAAAATTATTGACGAAAAATGTGACGCCCACACTTTTTGGCCACCCTGTACATTACATTATAAAATGAGCGCGCTACTCTCAAGAAGAAAAGTGTTAATCAGTTGCAAAACTATGTGCCAACCTATTGCTTGGAAGCGGCAGGACGAGCCCATGTATCTTATCACTGGGCAGTTTTAAGCCCTCCTTTATCAATGCTTCCGATCGAGAGCGGAATAAACGAATGCTGCATGTTTCTGTCAATGCTCGGTGGTATTAACGGAGCGAACCAGTAATCTCGGGTGCCTTTCTTTCTGCTCGCCTCTGCCTCCACTTTTTCGCTGCAACTGCTTTTTGACCTCAACACTTACAAGAAGTGCTTGGCTTTGGCATCCGTTATTTCCATAATTTAACTAAAGGTAGTTTATCGTTGAACTGTTGACCCTAACATTACGCAAAAATCAAAATTAAAGCAAGAATTTTGGCTTAATATCGTTATCAATACTTTGTTTCCTTATTCGACTTTGATATTCGGATACGGGTTATTCCATATACAGCTTGTCTGTATCATCGTAGCAAAGCTCAATTTTTCATTTGGTGTGTCTGCGAAGCAACAAGAAATTATATTGTGGACCCCGGCCAGGTTCCCATAGGTACTTCCGCGGCGCGCACGCAGCGCGCGCCCTTCTTAATGCTTCTCGCCACAATCGTGAGCAGTAGAGCACATTTATGCTCACAAAGAAGAAAAATGTAAAGTGGAAACTTCTAGGTTCACTTCGAAAGAAACGTATGCAAAAATGAAACGCAGGCAGCCTCCATGAGTACCTCGAATTTAATCAATGGATGCATATTCCGAACTTGCACTGATGGATAGGTTGTAATAAGTATACCTAGAGAAATTAAAGAACATCAGCATTCTTAAAACATTTCCCTTCGTAGACTTAGAAACTATAGTAGTCAAAATTTCAAAAAAGTGGACATTTCCGTAAACAAATACCTACCGGCTTCTCGGAAGGCTCAATTTTGACTTGAGACACTGTCTACACCTTACACATCAAACCGAAAGGGACTCTTATATTATACAAAAAGCTTTTGAAGGACTATTATCTTGTATCCAATCAAATCTCAATTTTTTGGAGAAAAAAAGGGAAGACACAGGACTGCTACACAAGACTGAAGGTCTTAGAACTATTAGAGCACATGAAATCTCGTCACCGGTCATCGCGAATTGTTTATATCTGAAATAGAGAGAATATAGTACACCAAAAATAAAAAAAAGAGAGAGAAAAGAAGATTTCCATCAGAAGCTAGGACAGGAGACGCACCGAAGGCGTGCGTTGCGGGTGCGTGTTGGTACCTATGGGAAGCTGGCCGGGGTTTACACTATACATGTTCTATGCCCATTGCTTCATCCGCATTTATGAACTTTAACTCGGGATAAACTGTGCGACGCGAAGGCACCGTAAATATCATAAACAATAAAACTGTAACTATATTTTGAAGAAATTTTCAGCGTAGTTGGTTCCTTAGCGTAATCGCTCTCAAAAACTTCCTTACTTTGTTTCTTTAGATTTGTAAAAGTCAGCGAAGCTTTTCAAGCATAACGATCACTTTGCACCGGAGAACGCACAAACGAAGATCTTTTTATATGTGACCAAACTCACGTTTGCTTGAAAATGTAGGCTGTATCACCCTCGGTCGTGCGCCGGTGTGACTTGCTACTGCCGCCTGCGACTGCTTTAATGTATAGCAGTGCTCGCGTCACACCGCACCGGCTATTGCCGGAGACGCAACGACGCCTCATAAACGACGCCATTTGATACAGCCTATATGTTGTTTCCGATAGAATTTTTTTGAGCGGACTGATAGACGACAAATTATTCACACACATGTTTCCAAGCACGGAGAATATTCTAGGCTTTCTGCGGCGACTTGTTAAACGCTTATATAGATTTATCGTTTTTTGCGTGAAAATCTTACCATTCATTGTTAAACAATTCTCACATCCGATATCGGGGATAGCGCTCGTATTTTGCGATGTGGAGGTTTTAATCAGGTTTTCTAGAATTTGAGCAGCAACATTCACGTGCTAAAAAAACCTGTGCCTTTCTTCATTGCGAAATAAATATAGCTTTATCGCCGATATCGAATGTGGGAAGTTCACGCAGATGCAAAGATGAAAGCATATGATTAATGCTAAAGCATTTCATTGAGCCATGTAAACGGGAAGGGTGAAACTCATTTGATCCTTGCGGTCAGCAGCATGTGGCGATTTGATGCAAGGCGGCACGGAATGCATGTCTCTCCGTCACAAAAAGTATTGAGTGCTAAGGGTTTCTTCATACTACGCGGCGAGCTGCGGCGTGCGCCGCTGCAGTCGCAGCGAAAATATAAGCTCGCTCGCTGTGAAGAAACATTTCCGGAGAACACGAACGTGCAGCAATATACAGATATTCATCCATAACCGGCGCTATGCTGCTGTGAGCGTGTATTTCCACAGCGACTGCAGCAGCGCACGCCGCAGGACGCGGCGTGCTGCTGCTGCTGCCGCGTCCTGCCGCGTCCTGCCGCGTGCGCCGCAGCACGCAGCGTCCTGCGTCGTAGTGTGAAGGAGCCCTAAGGGGAGGTAGAGACGGTGGACACGACGCGAAGTAGGTAGGCGATGACAAAAGTGAGCAGAAGTGGAGAATTAACTTTGTTCGCACCAGCGCTCAGGTCCGCGCATTCAAAGAACCGCAGCACATAGCATGGACGAAATCGAATCCACTGCTAATCACTTTTGTAATTCGTTTTCCAAGCATCACATGTAGACATTGATATTGCAATACAGCCAAACTGGATGTAATTTCTCATTGATTCGAAAAATATTGACTTTGGAGGAGATCAAAGTGAGGCAAACGAGATCCGCCTCAATCCAATAAAAGTGGAGTTGTAATAATTTTTCATGTAAATCACTATTTTATTATTTCTGAGAGACTATTGAGTTTTCAGATACTGACGAATGAAATTACCGCCCCATTTGTGAAGTCACTGTTTCATTTGTCCGTCCCAGTTCGCCTGTGAACAGTAGACAGAATATTGCAGACAACACGGTGGACATATTCTTCGGTATGAGGCTTGACGAGATACGCCTTGGCTTTCCTGCTGTCTTTAAAAATAAGTAAACACTTTTGTGTAAGGATTGTAAAGTAATGATAGCACATAAATTTATTGGAAAAGGTAACTAGCGCGAATGGATATTGATGAAGCAACTTGCTTTCGCATCCCATTTCTCGCTAGAGCAGCTTGCTTTTGCATCTCATCATTTCTTTTCAAGAAAAAGCAATTAGGCGTAACGGAGCGCTGTTCGTACATGTGAATTTCGTTCATTACAGCCTTTGTTGCTCCTCTCCAACAATTCCCTTGCAAAATAAGGACAAAGTTCTGGCACATTTCAACTAAGGAAGGAACCCTAGTCGCAATGGCGATTTGGAACGAGATGCATATTATTGGGGCGTCTTACTAGACCAAATCCAGATCTAACTTATAGTCAGTACACTCAATACCTTTTCAATCATGCGCTCACAAACTGATTTCAATACACATTATGCACTAGAACCCGAATGGCTTCATACATTTGACCACTCATGAACTCTCCAAAGAATTTCGCGTAATAAGGAAGGTAGACTTATTAGCGCATTTAGACGCATCCAAAGATTTGCATTTCATTGCAAATCACCGTTTGGATCATTCCCTTGTGTGTTTGCGCAGAT